TTCTTATAAGTATGTGTGAATTCTCAAATATCCAAAAATAAAAAAAAATTAATAAAAAACCAAAGAAACGAACAACTTTTGTTTAGTGAGGAAATCCTAGCTAATGCCTCCCCCCTACAAGAATACTTTGAAAAGTTCGTGGAAATATTTGCACTAGCTTTCAATTCTGTTTTTCCACAAACTTTTTGAAGTACCCTCGTATCTTATACCCCTTGTCCTAATGCTACCATATTTTCTTTATAACAGTATTAAATATTTAATAATCACAGTGCTTCAAATGCTGTCACCTGGACTAAGTGCTTACTGTGTCATCTCATTCAATCCATACACCGTCCCTACAAACTGGGCTCTACTGTAACCCCAATTTCAGATGAGACTCTACTGCCTCTCTCTTTTAAAACACTACTAGCAAATAAACAAACCACAGAATTTTTTAAATGGTCAAAGGACTTCAATATACATTTCTCCAAAGAAGATATAAAAATGACCACATGAAAAGATGCTCAGCGTCCCTAATTGTTAGGAAGGTGAAAATGAAAACCACAATGAAGTACCACCTCTCACCCACTAGGATGGCTACCGTCAAAAGGACCAACCAAACGAATAAACAAAGCCTCCCAAAGTGGAAAATTACAAGTATCAGCGATGATGTGAAGAAATCAGAACCCCTGAACGCTGGTGAGGAGCATGTAAAATGGTGCAGACGTCATGGAAAACAGTATAATGGTTCCTCAAAAAATTAAAAATAGAATGACTGTATGATCCAGCAACTCCACTTCTGGGTATATACCCCAAAGAATTGAAAGCAGGGTCTTGAATAAATATCTGTACACCCACGATCAAATCGTTATTATTCACAATAGCCAAAACGTAGACGCAACTCAAGTGTCCATGAATGGATGAGTGGATAAACAACATGTTGTATATCCATACAATGGAATATTATTCAGCCTTAAAAAGGAAGGAAATACTGGCACATGTGAAACATGACCTTATGTTGAGTGAAATAAGCCAAGACACAAAAAGACAAATATTGTACGATTCCGCTTGTGTGAGGTACCTAGGGTAGTCAAATTCATAGAGACAAAAAGCAAAATGGTGGTGACCAGAGGCTGGGGGTGGAGGTGTGAAAATGGGGAGTTGGTGTTTATATGGTACAGAGTCTCAGTTCTACAAGACAAAAAGAGATCTGGAAGTTGGCTGCACAACAATGTAAATGTACTTAATGCCACTGGACTGTACACTTAAAAATGGTTAAGATGGTAAATTTCACGTTATGTGCATTTTACCTTCATTAGAAGAAAAAAACACATTAACAAATTGATTCAAGTGATACATTTCACAAGATTTTTACCCTTTTTCTGACAGTTCAAATAAAAAGTAAAACACTCCAGGTAGAATAATTCCATATTTTCCAACCCCATTCTCCTCTTGCCTAAACATCCTTTTCTCCCAGGCATCACCTGGGTAAATGCTCAATAAAAGTTCTCTAAAATAGAAGTGCAAACTTTCAGCACGTGGCCCAGTGGAAGCCAATAAACAGGAAATGGTGACATATAGGCATATTAGGGACATAAGAGGGATTTCGTGTAAGTGTAATTGAAGCAAAGAGGTCTTCTCAGTCTCAGAAAGGGCCAATGTGCCTGAGCTCCAGGTGGGCAAGTCCAGCACAGGCTTGGGCCGCAGGGCAGAACCAGGCTGTTTGGCTGGTTCTTTGGAATGGGTGAGTCGGGCAGGCAGAGGGCGCCTCTGCACATCACTGTCATGGAGCTGGTCAAGAGGTCACCATTCTACTTGCTCATAGCCCGCAAGAGGACTATCTTCATCTCCCCCCCCCGCCCTCCAATTGATAACTTCACAGATCAGCAACATGGCCTAACCAATTTCCTGTTTCACTATTATGCCCTTAGCCTTCTAACCCCTGCTGCTCCTGACTCTGGCACAGAAAGGCAGGAGCTAAGTCTGCCCACCCTGCCAGCCTCCCACCGGGGGGTGCACTGATGACAGAGCTGACCGCAGCACTTCAGAGGCCACGCAGCCAGCCTTGGCAGCAACTGCATCTCTCTAAACGGAGCTGCTGAGTTACAACACACAGAAAGCAATGGGATGTGAGTGTACTTGGTGCTATCCAAGCAGGCACCCGCTGCTACTTATCTCGCAGGTGCAAGCAGCATACAGCTCTATGCCTTCACCTGGGCTTCATGGCTGAACATGGGGGTTGGAACATAATTCCAAACCACCCCTTTACATGCAGGGCTACTGTCTCAGGCTGAATAAGCACACCCCAGTAACATTCTCTCCACGTTTCTCTTCATGACAGATATGCTGGCAAATATCCATAGGAGGGTCTAATTGGATTATTTATAGCCTGGTTTCATGATTAAAATTGGGAAAAATCCATGAAAATATAGCTCTCAGTGACTAGAATCAAACACAGAAAAATAAAATAATAATAAAAATAGAGCACACAGAGCCAGACTTTGTGTGAAACATGCCAGGTGCATAATATCATTCTTCCTTTCGACAGTTAATGAGATAGTTGTTTTCCCACTTCACTGATGTGGAAACTGAGGCTAGGGAAGCCAAATTAACTTGTAAAAAGCTTAGCAAGCAATTGAGTCCAGGGCTCCTGGATGCCAGAGTAGCTGACTTGCCCACTACCTTGAATGACCTTGAGCAAGCTGCTTATCTGACTCTCAGTATCCTCATTTATCAAATGATGACAATAATACCTATCTTACAGTGCTACTGTGATGAATACATATGAAAATCAGCCTAGAACAGAGCCTGGAGGCACTGCATAGCCAGTGAGCTCTTTTCTCTCCTCTTTCCCTCTTCTCCTCACCCCCCACCACCACATGTCCACTTCCTGTCCACTCAAAGTCACAGTAAACAAGAGAGGGAAAGCACTCAGATGGACCAAGAGCACAATTAAAGGTGATCGTGATCATGCTTTCCCTGCCACTACTCTTAGTGAAGAGACAAGCCCTGCAAGGGAAGGCCAGGGGAAGAAGGCAGAAGTCCCTGGCTCCTGAAGTGAGCGCTGGGGCTGGGGCAGGTGTATTCAGGGAGTGTGCGAGAATGGGAAGGACTGCAGCTTTATAGAGAGGTGATGACTTCTAAGAGGGAACTGAATTTGAAATGAGCAGATCATACTAAGACCTTCTGGGTAAAGTTCTTTGGGGAAAAGTTATTTTTACAGTCCTAAAGAGTTCCCCCATAGATTATTTATTAATTACAAAAGGGAATAAAAAAATCACCATGGGGAAATCTAGTGGTTGTCCTTAGACAAAATCAAACAGAACATCAACAAGAATGGGACAAATTCTGTGCCTCCTGATGGATGCACTGAGAACACAGCATCACTTAGGGACCTAGATACTCTTCACAGAGGCACAACCTGAGCCAAATCATGAGAAACATCAGAAAAATCCAAACTGTGGGACATTCTACAAAACACTGACTTGTGTTCTACAAAATGTCAGTGTCATGAAAGATGAAGATAGGCCAAGGGACTGTTCCAGACTGAAGGAGACTAAAGACATAGCGACTAGGTACAAATACTTGACCTAGGTTGGGGAAATAGCCCCCGGGACATTACTGGGACAACTGGGAAAATTCGAATGTCAACTCTATATTAGATAGCAGTATGCATCAATGTTAAATTTGCTGAATGTGATCACTGTATTGTGTAAGATAATGGCCCTGCTCAGAGGAAACACACATCAAAGTATTCAGGGGCAAAGGGGCCTGACTTGTGCAACTTACGCTCAAGGGGTTCAACATCGACATCAAGTGTGCAATGCGTACGTGTAAAAGGTAAATACAGGCAAATACAGGAAAATGCTAACAACTGGGGAATCTGGGTGAAGGGTGTACAATGTTCACTATGCTTTTCCTGCCCCTATTCTGTGGATTCGGAAAAAATAAATTAAGAAATGAATACAAATACCCTGGGGGAAAATAAAAAAGGCAGCAAGTCATTTTTTAAGTGAGCAGATAACAGTTTTGCAGTTTCTCAGAAAATTTAACATAGAATTACCATATGACCCAGCAATTGTGCTCCTAGGTGTGTGCCCAAGAGAAATGAACATATGTGTCCACACAATAATTTGTACATGAACACTCATAGTGTTGTGGCATTATTCATAACAGCCAAAGTGTCCATCCACAAATAGATAAACAAATTGTGGTATATTCACACAACAGAATAATACTCAGCCATAAAAATCATGTTTGCTCTCACTCACACAAAGCTGGCAACCAGAAAGTGATGCAGAAAGATGTGTGTGACCTAACATTCACCCTTTCCAGAAGTAACTGCACTTTAATTAGAACCATATAGAAACGTGATGCTCAAATTTTTTTTTTTTGGTTTTTTAAAAATTCTTATCACAAAAGAAATTCACATTCACTATACGTAAAAACTTTGAAAAAGACAGATGGGCAAAAAGAATCCCCCGGAGAGAGGCACTGCCATGGTTTTGCTGGACTTCATGAAACCTGAGGAGGCAACACTTATTGCTAAGGAACGACTCATCAATGATGGGACTTTGAGCATCTTTAGAAACTTTCTTAGTGACCCTCAAATTGAAATAAATGTGAGGCTTCCTATTAAGCCAGTGGGTCCTAAACCCAAGTGTACCTTTCCCTGAGATAGAAGCAAATTTCCTGCACTTAAAATGTGTATCCAGAGAATGAGATGATGAGAAAATCATAGAGGAGCAGACAGAATGATCAGAATGAAGACCCATGGCTCCCTTCCTTACAAACATTGAGAGAATTACTGCAGGAGAATTACTAAGTCACAAGGAAGAGCGAGACAGATTTTGCAGACCAGTTCTCCGCCCCCAGAACAGGTGGACAGAAGGAAGAAAAAGAAATGATGCTTCTGACACAATTTAGCATCTGGCCCAGAAGCTGAGAGAAATGGGCCTGGGTCCTTTCTTCTCCTCTCATCACTTCTGGAATGGACACTGGCCCCAGAGCCACACACTTACCCATCCAGACTTCCCCAAACTGCCCAGCGCCGAGCCTTTTCATCAACTTAATGGACTCCCGGGGGATCTCCCAGGCATCTTTATCCCACGGCTTTTGTGGTTTGGGACTAATGCATGCCCTCTCCAGTCTTCTGCACAGGCCATCTGACTGCTCTGATTGGGAAGGGAAAACAAAGGTTATGAAATGCAACACTTTGTGTTTTACTAGTATCTATAAAGAAGAATCTGGAACATCAGTCCTACAATGTCCAACCTGCCATATGTCTATGAATCTAAAATGTTTATGCAGGTATCCTATGCATTATCATGACTTCTAAAATTCTCCAAAGCAAAGACAATTTGAAATATACTTGATTTTATTCCTTGGCACTGCTGATGTGAAAACAAAACAAACAAAGGCTGACAGGTCGTCACACTTAATAAAATGTGATTTCAGACTACCGAGCCCACATAAACTCCACAAGTAATTTTAAAACCCTAAATGTCAAACAGCATGAACTAACTAGGAAGAACTGAGCTCATTATTCACAAAGATCAAATCCTACTTTGCACATATATTTAATTATAGTTTAGTTTAAAATCAATTATAGGGCTGGCCCAGTGGCGCACTGGAGAGTGCGCCGCTTGGGAGTGCGGCGGCGCTCCCGCTGAGGGTTTGGATCCCATGTGGAGACCGGTTCCGCTCACTGGCTGAGCGCGGTGCAGGCGCGACACCGAGGGTTGCGATCCTGTTGCCGGTCCCCGGTACCGGTCAGTAAAAAAGACAAAAAGGGGGAAAAAAAAAATCAATTATAGAATATGACCCGCCAACTTTATACAGAAGAAACATGATGCATGAAAAGCTTTAATATAAAAATACTTTATGTTATTACATATTAAAATATTACATTAATTTTTTTGTAATATAAAAAGTGTTTGACCCTTCATACTTATACAATAAGCATATTGCATCTTGTGCACCTTTCAGTTTTTACTTACTTTGGTAATGCTTAATCATGTCGCTGATAGAGGGAAAAGTGATTCGTGGAGAGATGTAATAACCCCCATTGTCCAGACTTCTGATTTTGTAGTGCTTAATAATATCACCATGCACAGGGTCATAATCTCTGACAGACAGAGAGAAGCTTCCTGGGGCGGGAAGAAGGGTAAGTAAAAGTTACGTTTACATTTTACAAATGCGATTTGCATTATACAACACTATGGTACAGATTTTTCCCTAAAAATACTCAAAATATAAATTAAGAATGTATATAACGCATAATTTTAAAAGTCCTGTACAAATTCTACTTCACAAACGAAGCTAGCATTTTGTTTGCTGTGCAGCTTGGCAGCATGACACTTTCTTTCTTCGTGATAGCTTATTATTATTATTTAGCTGAATTAAAAAGTTACTTTGATCTCCTCTTAAAATTTAGGGATTTACACTGAATAACAACACAAGAGGCTCAGCAAACATAAAACATGGAAAGAACTGGACATAATAATGCCTGCTTTCTGTTACTTATAGTAGCAAAACTAATTGTTTGAGTGTTATCAAGGTTTAAAACTTTCACTACCAGACATACAATATCCTTTTTTTTTTTTGAGTAATTCTAGAATAATTTCTAAAAATCATTTCCTAAATAGTGTTTTATAAGCAGCCTTAAACCACTTCCTACCTTTTAAAGTCTCACTTTCTCTGATAAGAAAAGCTCCAGCACTATTCCCCGGTGCCAGCAGTTGCCTTTCTGCGTCTTTCCTTGTTATATCCTTGAAGAACCACCTGAGAAGACATTTAACATTTCATGCATATTATGTCCTAGGGTAGAAATCAGATGAAGACTATCCATAAGAAATCCAATGCAGTAAGCAAAACCATCGGAGATGACAACATGTAAGGACTCACTCTTCCGTTTCTAAGGTGTTGACTTTGGCCACGTAGTTGCTGGGGATGAAACCTTCTCTCCTTGTTGAAAGGGACTTAGCTTTCCACCATTCTCCATGCCTGGAATAGAAACACACATCAAAAACTGTTTATATCCAGGACTTGAGAGCTATGATAGCAGTTGTCTTAAGGTGTTTGTTTTGGGGGGTGATGGAGGGTGGGGAACCTCCTCGGAACCCCAGAATCCAGTGGGAGAATTCACTCCTCTTGATGGAATAAGAATATGTTTAGATACTGAAGCAAAGAAAAGCAGACTTACAGCTTAAGTGTGGGCACTGTGCTCAGCGCTGCTCCAACAAGAGTTGGTATAAATTGTTCCCATTTTTGCAAAAATGTTTGTAATTTTCCCCAGGATAGCTAAGAAATGCTTCAAGATCCTTTCAAAAATGGGAGTCAAGGGAATAATGGGCTATAGTTTATGTGTTATAAATGCCTTTGTTAAAACATTTAGTTTCTACAGAGATAGAAGCCATGAAAAAAAGAAAAAGAGAACCATAAAGCAATTCCAAGCAGGTAAGGCTATCAGCAAGACCCAGCCCTCAACAAGAGAGAGGTCATGGAGCCAGTGGGGGAGGCTGGGCCAGTACTGTGAGGAGCAGGTGAGCCAGTGAACGGGAGGAACGGCAAGCCTCAGCTGTGCTCCTCATCACATGCTCACGTGCACTTGGCATCCTTGTCTGGAAGACAAGAAGGACAACTACAGCTAACACTACGTTACTGCCTACCCTGTGCCTGTGCTACATTTATATACAGTCATCCCCGCTTCTTCACAGGGGATACGTTCCAAGACCCCCAGTGGATGCTTGAAACCATGGATATGACTGAACCCTATATATTTACAAACTATGTTTTTTTCTATATATAAATACCTATGATAAAGTTTAATTTATAAATTAGGCACAGTAAGAAATTAATAGCAATAACTGACAATAAAATAGAACAATTACAATACGCCAGCATCACCACTCATGCATTTTGGGGACATTATTAAGTAAAAGAAGGGTGACTTAAACATAGCACTGTGGTACCATGACAGTTGATCTGATAACTCAGCCAGCTACTAAGTAACTAAGGGACAGGTAGCACGTACAGCATGGATCTGCTGAACAAAGGGATGAGTCACATCCAGAGCAGGATACAGCAGGCTGGTGCAAGATTACATCACACCACCACTCAAAATGGAACGCAATTGAAAACTTACAATTTTTTTTTCTGGAATTTTCCATTTAACATTTTTGGACCTCGGTTGACTGTGGGTAACTGAAACCATGGAAAGCAAAACCTTGGATAAGGAAGGACGACTGTATTATAATATATATACACATGTAATGCTATCGACCCCTAATATAGCTACTGTCATTCCCATTTTATAAGTGAAGAAACCAAGATCCAGAGTTTAAGTGACTAGTCAAGGTCACACAGCTATCAAGTGGTAGGGCTGGGATGAGGCTCAAGTTCCTGCTCACCCTGTAAGTAGCACTGCTCTTGACCACATAACACCTTTTACTTCATAAGGGAGTCTCCTTCCTCTAACCCTATTTGGCAGGTCAGTGTGACACAGCATGCAAGATTGGTAGAGAAACTAAGCTAGAATTAAAATATTTGGAGCTCCTTATTCTTGGTTCTGTCCTGCACCCTGTGATCTGACAAGGCCACATGTCTGCAGGTCAGGGTGGAGGGTCGAGGAGACAAGGCCACCCAAGCGTCTTCGGAGGCGTGCAGCTGCTGAGCAGGGGCTTTTCCAACAGACCGCTGCTTTAGCACAGTACCCTTAGAAATCAAGCCAAGTTGGGCCCAAAACCCAGCCTGAATCTGAGTAATATAGCTAAATAAAAATGGCATTTTAAATAACATGCAGATGCCACCCAAACCCAAACTTCTTAAAAATGGCACAGCTGGGAAAACAAAGAAACTGGGATCTGTCTTCCAAGGGAAACCTCCTGAAGAGCACTCACAGCGGGAAGCAGCAGGAAATTCCTTTGGCCCTGCTCCTCCCTCTGCCGAAGCCCTATAGACAGCTCAGAGGCTGGGAGGCCCGTGCCTGCCTGGAGAAGGGGGTCCGGCTACTGCTGTGGTACTAGAGGCAAAACAAGGGAACAGTCTGCAAGACTCAGTGGCCTGAGGAAAGAAGCAATCACTATGCGTGCTTGGGAGCACTTACTCCTCTAGGATTTTCATCTTCTCTCCTTTCTTGAAAGACAGGTCATCTGTGTGGATGGCATCATAGGGGTACAAGGCTACCACAATGTCTCCTTGCTCCTCCGGATCTAAAAATGAAAAGCCCAAGTGAACACCAGAAGGAATCCACCAGCAGAAACGTTTTAACAAATCCTTGTTAGGCACAAAGGATGAAATGAAGCTGAAGAGAAGGGCGACTGGAATCAAGACATGTGTTTCCTGCCTAGTGGGGCACAGGAAGGTAACATGCTGTACTCACTGTGGACAGTATTTGTTATCACAAACCATTCCAACCCTACATTTAAGAAATGATACAGCCATGTTCATAGCAGCATTATTCACAGTAGCCAAAATGTGGAAATAATCCAAATGGCCACTGAATGGGTGAATGGATAAACAACATGTAGTATGTCCATACGATGGAATATTGTCCAGCCTTACAAAGGAATGAAGTTCTGACACATGCCACAACTTGGATGAACCTTGGGGACATTATGCTAAATAAAATAAGCCAGACACAAAAGGACAAACATTGTATGATTCCACTTAGATGAGGTACCTAGAGTACTCAGATTCGTAGAGGCAGGAAGTAGAAGAGTGGTTGCCATGGGCTGGGAGGAGGAGAAAATGGGAAATAAGTCCTCAATGGGTACAAAGTTTCAATCTGGCAAGATAAAAAAGTCTGGAATTGGATGATGGTGATGGTCACACAACAATGTGAATGCACTAAATGCCGCTGAACTGTCCATTTAAAAATGGCTAAGATGGTAATTTTTATGTTATGTATATTTTCCCACAATAAAAATAAATACATAAAAATATCTAGGACAACTAGTCTATAGAAGCTCTAGCAATAAAGAAAAAAATTAATTATGTTGCTATGAAAACATACCTTTACTTTGAAATCTCTGTCCTGGTAAAAGCTGAGATTCTGGAACCTACGAGAGAATATTTGTTAGGAAAAAAAATATGTATGTTTAGCTTTTCTTACATTCATGTTGTATGTTATTTTTCTAGTAGTAGCAAATGATGTTTGGATTTGCTAATTCACTAAGCTGGAAAGAAGAGAAGTACAAGAGAGGAAGTTACGTGCAGCTCTGTCACGAACCACATGGCTCAGTGAGAGGACTCTTCCTTCTTGGGGCGTCATGACTCTGGAGGTAGGAAGTGAACGAGGCCCTGGCAGTGGCTGCTGGATGCTCACTCACCATAATGCTCCCTCATATGTGGGAACAGAACCCTAACATTATTTGGGGTGGCAATTTGCCCAGCTCAATGACTATGCTTCCAAACTTTCCAGCCTCCTATGCAGCCGGGGGAGAGAGCTTTTCTATAGGCAAAGGAGTTTTGTGAGGCTTTGGCGAAGCCTCTCCTCTTGCCTTGCCTCCTTCTTCCCGCTTAGAAACAAAGGCAGGCCATGGAAACCAAATACCAGGGACAACACAGTGAAAGACAGAAGTGACTATGGAATTGCCACCCCAGCCCAGGACTGTCCATCCTCATTTTCCCAGACTGGTTTAAAAACACGTGGTCAGGGCTCTGTCCCCACCAGCTAAGAGCAAGCCCTGAGCAAGCCCTAAGCGATCCAGACTTTCATGGGCTGCCCTGACTCCATCTGCTATGGGGACAAATGGCATCCACTGTTACTTCAGTTGGGAGGTGACTTATCGGGAGGATCTGGGGGCAAAAAAGGCAACCTCATCTACCTTTTAAATCAATTCCTTTTTCTCACAGTGCCATGGTGAGGTTGTGCAAGGTCTCTGGGCCTCTTCTAAGGAAGGTACTGTCAGAGGACGGTTCTGAAAACCCTGGGATGTTTCTGTTTCTCTTTGATTGAAGCGATTTCATGGAATGGGACGAAAATGGTTTGTACTGAAATTTAAATTTCTGATGAGAGTCAGTCCATGAAATCTCCAATTTAGTGAGGGCAGAAAAATTACTACATTGTGGTATCAGAAAATCCATGGGTCCACGGTATCCTTTAATATGTATTTCAAGAAGTTTTAAACTGATTTTTTTAGTCATTTAGATTTTCATAATTAGGAAGTATGATCTATTTTATGTGATTTAGAGGAAATAATTAGAAGATGAGAAACTAATTAAATCATTCTGAAAGCAGCAAGCTGATTTTTCAAATATCAAAGAGTCCTTAATATCAAAGCAGTCAACGTGATTTTTGCATGCACATATTACACGTTGGTGTTTAAATTATGCAGCCATGCTTTGATCCTGCTGTGGGAATTCTCCCTGAGACTATCTACTTACTGGCCTTTGCTGTTTATTGGACGTTGGATCTCTCACATAAATAGTTCGGTCAGTATTACGTACTGGTTGAGTCTTCAAATCTATTCCATCGTCATTCAGATTGTCTTTCCTTTTTGATTTTATACATCCCATATTTCCTGTTGGAATACAGAAGCAATGACATTGTTTTACCATTCCAGAACTGGCTTCAAGCCACCAAAATCCCTCCATTAAAAAGAGTAAAAAAGAATATACTTTTATTTTCTATCATATAGAGATTAACAAACTCAAATGTGAACATTGTTCACAAATGTGTTTGCTGTTCATTCATTCATTTATTCATCTAAAAAATATTTATCGAGGATTAATTTTACATCAGTCAGACAGAATTCCTGCTCTAAATATGCTCATATCTTGTGGTGAAGATTCATGAATTAAAATTATGGTACGATGTGGCAAGTTGATGATGGAGGATGCAAAGGACCTACAAAAGGACATCAAACTCAGGCCAGAGGAAAAAGAGGTAGTCAGGGAAAGCATCCGGAAAGAAATGCTCTGTGAGTCGAAATGGGAGGGATGCCAGCCAGGTGGCAAAGTCAGCAAAGGGATTCCAGGAAGTAGGAACTTCACACGCAAGCACAGTGACCTCTAGATAACACAGCCTCTTAGAGAACTAGACCAGTCTGACCCCTTCAGGGAACTAGTTCTACAACACTAAACCCTTTAGTCCATGAGCAGGAAGGGAAGGCCAGGAATCAGGCACAGAGAGGGAGGTACATGTTACATTCACTGCTGAGGAGTTGGATTTCTACCCTGAGGACAAGGGGCACATCCAATCTGCAGTGTGCAAGATGAAGTAAGGGGGGGCTTGAGGCTTCAAAGGCAGGTGGGATTAAGAGCTAGAACATACAGAACCTGTCTTCGACCAAACGTGGCTTGGGGCCTAGAAAGATGCTGGTGGCCTTCACCAAGACTGGAAATAAGGGAGAGAGAAGATGCTTTTAAGAACATCTACATGATCAAATCCAGTAAGCTTCCCAGCAAGGTATTTGAGCCTAGAAACCAGGAGAGGTGGCAGAGCCAAAGACAAAATGATGGCATCTGCAAGCACTGGCTGTGGATGGGACTGCAGAGGAAGAGCCACCATGACATGAAGGGAAGCCCCTTGCTTGACCAGTGCAGCGCGACACACCATACATCTTAACACTAAACCCTTCAATACTAGCACGGGCAGAGCACTACACGAAGCACTCTGGGGACTAAAAAGATGATTTTGAAAGTTTGAATCAGGTATGACTCTTGCCTTACATTATATCCTCAGGGTCAAATCTATACATTAAAAACAAAACGAAGCCTGTCATGAGCTCCATCAGAAGGTGCCATAGAGTGGTGGTTCCCACAAAATAGACAGATTCCCGGGACACAGTCCAGGAAATTCTCTTGGGCTCCAGTGGGGGCACGATGCTCCCCATGTGATCTACGTAATTCTGAAGCCCTGCCAAATTTGGGAACCGCTGCCTAGCACTTCAGAGGAGGGAGAGTTTGGGAAATGGGGTGGGGTGGGGTGCGAATTAGACAACACCTGATGGGGGAGGAATTGTTGTAAGAAACCTCCAGAGCCCTTCTCTGAACTCTGTCCTCCCCCGCCCGGGTGCCTTGCGCCACCTCTGCACGCTGTCCAGCAGGCTTCCAGTCGGTCTGGGGACTTCAGCTTGTTTATCATTTCGTTAGTTGAAGTATGAAGCCTCTAAAGGACAGCCACGCCTCTTTCTGACACTAGCGAGCTGTAGTTCCCAAAATAAAGGGGAAGCAAGTACTTCTTTGATTCAAAACAGTACTTTTTTCCTCATGTACTATAGTTTCTGAAATGGAGATTTGTTTTAAAGTTGGTCTGTAAATAAGCGAGATGGGTTTGAGAGCTGATCTGTAAATAGGCGTGAGTTTCTTTTTCTGCCAGTCCCACCTCCTCTTCCCCGCCCCCCCAAAGCCTTTAAAATGGTGCTGTATAAATGAGGAAATACGGTAATAGGAAAGACCTGGCAGCACAGACCCCCGAGCACACAGCGAGCTCCAGTGGGGCCCTCAGTGGGTCCGCCCCGCCCCACTGCACACCCCGGCCCTTCGCAGCGCCCGCTCCCGTCCGGCACAGACACGAGCCCCGAAGGGGACACTGGGACCACCCACCTCCACCGGCACGCGCCTGCTGGGCTGCCGACCGCTCCCTGCGCGCCGGCACCTCTCCCCTGCCCTGGATGCTCGCTGCAGCTCCCCCTCCCTCCAGCTGTCTCTCCCTCCTGCTCTGTCTTTAACACTCTAGCTCTCTTCTCTTTTCCAGATCCTACACAAATGTTACCTCCCCAAACAGGTGTTCACTAACCGTCCTATTGAAAAGACCCCCTCTGGCCACCCCTCCACCACTTACACTCTTTTTGTGTTATTCCCACCCACGTCCCATTACACATTAGTTTATTTATGGTCGGCCCCGCAGCTAGAACCGAAGCTGATTGGAGCAGCCTCGCCTGTGATTTGCTCCCTGCAGTACTCGCAGCACCTAAAACAGCGCCTGCTCAGAACAGGGGCTCACAGAGTATTCCATGAATGAATGAATGAATGAATGAATGAATGAATGAATGAATGAATGGCGTAGCTACGGCTGCCGTGCTGGGGGTCTCCTGCATGGTCACCAGGACCCCTCCCGCTAAAGGTGAGCCAGGAAAAGGAAAGGAGGTGAAACCCACCTGAGTCTGTTGTTTTAAAAGAGACAGCGAGAGATGCAGAGGCCTCTACAACATATATAGGAAATATATCATTTATTTTATATATTACTTTTTATTATTATTTCCTAACGTATAGGAAATACAGGAGACAGAGGACGACAGTGTCAGGCAAATCCACAATGTGCTGTATTATAAAGACGACTGGACACTTCAGCTAGAGGGGGAGGGGAGAAGAACAATAACGAAGGGACTAAAGAGAACACGTGTGGCCCTTGATTGAATCCTGGGTGGTGAGGAAAGCAGGACACACACAGCTCGGATAATTGAGGAAATCTGAATTGGTGAGCATGATATTGGGGGAACTGTTAGCTTTTGCAAGGGTTATAATGGTATTGTCATGCAGGAGAACGTCCACATCTTAGGAGATGCACACTGAGGTGCGTACGAGTCAACACTTCAGCCATAATGAGAAGGGGAGAGAGAAGAAAGGGGCAGATGTACTAAAATATTTAACAATCAGTGAATCTAGGAAAAGGATATATTTTCATTTTTTTCAGTAGGTTTGAAATTTTCAAAATAAAAAGTTGGAGGGGCGAAAATAAGAGGTTACTACTAACAACTTTATGAGAAAGTCACTTCATAGAAACTCGGTGGTAGGGCTGCAGGAGAGCGCACGCATGCGCAGGTGAATGCAGGCACTGCGATTACAAGAGCACGTGCCAGGCGTTACTTACAGGGCAGGGGAGTGGTGCGGGATGCACCCGAAGAGCCGGAGACGAGGAAAGTTTTCTAACCGGGAAATGCCACGTACAGATCTCTATTTCTGAGACAGAGCTCTGTAGGAAGTGTGGAAGGGTGAGCCAGCTAGCACGGGAAATCTGTCCCCCGGCCTCGGAAGGAGTCCAGAGGAAAAGATGATGGCGATTGTCCCCGAGAGCGGTGGCAGTACGAAGAGGAAGGATGAGAACAAAAAGCAGGTGGATGTGGGGTGGGCTTAACCGAAGAACACGATATCAATAATTGCCATTCATTTACGTTTATATTTTCCCTTCTCGCCATCGCCATAGATAAATGAACACCAATGTACATACTGTAGATGAAAAAAAAGAAAACAGCGCTCCGCGTGGAAAATTAACATGATCTCATCTCTCACGCAGGGCAGGGCTCTGCTCACTGCCCACTGGACACAGAGCTCGTGTTTGAGGCCTGTCGTTCACACATGCTCCAGCAAGAAACCCCAGCGAGCTCGTCCTGTGACATGGGGATGAATACCTCAAATTCAGACCAGGTCTTCCAATTCCTTATGCTGTGCAAAGGTACCAGAAAAGTAGAAAATGCAATATACTCTTGACGAAAACTTAGAGAGTCGTTACATGTTTCGGAGCTACACTTTACAATGATTTACATCGTAGGTTTGTTTTTTTAATTAAACGTTTAAAATGTGTTGAGTATCTCATTCAATCCTTGAAGAAACCCTATGACCAAGACATTATTATGCTCCGCTTTATAGAGAGGTAAACTGAGGTTCAGAGAGGTTAAAGGACTGGCCCAATGACACGGCTTAGGGAGGGGTGGAGCTGGGACTTACCCACACACCACTGTAGCCTAAAGTCTAGGTCTTAAGCTAGGTCGACAGCCTGTGCTCTCAGCACATTACCATACGATGACTATTTTGAAACTTGTTTTACCTATTTACTAACAATGCTAAACAAAGGGATTATTTTTTTAGTCTGCCTCTTTCTCAAAAGGATTTGAAATGCTTTACCACAAAAGAGTCAATAATGAGGTTAATAAAATGAAAACAAAAATCCAGAGCCCAGGAAAAGAGAAGAAGGTAAATGTGGTAACACCATGGGTAACAACATCTGCTGTAAACGAGCTGCACATGTGTCCTGAGTCTGCTGGCAGGAAGGGCCACAGGACTGCTTCAGTCACCGGGAGAGAGGAAAAGGCCAGGCTCCCCATGGGAAAGTGTGTTTCCCAACAGGAATTCCTAGTTTTCTTACGATGGACTTCGTGTAAACTGCTGTTGATAGTTGGCAATGCCTTCAATACCACTTTTTGACAACAAATGAAGTCCCATTTTATAGGCAGACACTTTTGGTTTAAAAAAAAAAAAAAGTTTGGCCAGTTAGTTCACTTGGGAGAATACAGTGCTGTTAACACCAAGGTCAAGGGTTTGGCTCCCCTTTCCAGCCAACCACCAAAAGTAATACTAATAACTGAGGTTTTGACATGCAAATACTACTTTGGGATGTTCACTGCAAAAGTTCAATCACATGATCTGGAGAGAGACAAATGGCTGGACAACCCTTTGCTCACAAAAGAACACCCACCAGCATGTCCAGAAAATGGGGAGCTGTTGACTTTTCTTTCCAAAAAGTCTTT